CAAAACTAGTCTTATAGTTTACCAAACATTATGATACTACTTTTAAAATTAAGAACACTTTAAAAATTATAGTTTACTAAACGCTCAGTTACTTTACAGAATATTTAATTTTTTCTTCAGCACAGTTAAAAGTAATTCTTTTAAAATCTACAGCATTATCAAGCTAGTCATATAACTCGCCAAGGAAGAATGTGCCTAAGGTGCGTTCTCCCAAGTAAAAAAAAACTAATTTTCGTGTGCCTTTTCTTTTATAAAAATAAAGATTATTAGATAGGATCAACATGTCTCAATACAAAATATATATAATTTTTTCTCTCTCACGATAATATATTACGTAGGTATGCTAATACAAATTATAAAAATATATATTTAAGTAGTAACATTCTTAAGGAAAAAAATAACCCAATGAGATGATTAAAAGCATGTTTCATTAAAACGAGGAGAAAAAAAAAAAAAAAAAACTCAAACAAGCAAGTAAGCAAGTGTAAAAATTCATTCCCTAAATAAAAAGAAAAACAAAACTTTGGAAACATTTGAAAATGTTTTATTCAGTAGAACAATTAGTTAAAATGTTACTTTTAGGCCTATTTGTGAAAACAATATTTTAAAGAATTGCAAAAAATAAATATCTGAAACATGGAGGAAGAGAAAAGAAATCAATAAGATAATTAAAAGCATGATTCATTAAAAAAAAAAAACTCAAGCAAGCAAGTGCGTGCAAAATCTCATACCCCTCATTCTCTTTATATAAGTGTTATAAATAGATTATAGATTATAGATTATAGATTTAACTTTTACTTTTTTATAATTGCATGTTATATTATTCCCCGCATAATATTTCTTCATTCTTATCTCATAACTTGTGTTTATTTTACATCTTCTGAAGTGTACATCTTTCTTTTATGCGCGGATCTTTTCAGGGTCATTTTCTCAATTTTAGTAATTGAAAAATTCCTAAATTCTCAATAAGGGTAATAGGAAAAGTTTTCCTTTAAAGTAAATTGCTAATTAATACTCCAGAGCCATTAGTTCTATTTGCTCAATATTTTAAAACTTTTCAATGTTAGATTTAGTATTCTAAGGATTGAATACATGAAATGTATATTTTGTCACTTCAAATCAATAAAAATATTTCCTTCATAAAAAAATTCAATAAAAATATTTTATGCATTAATGTGTCTTGTTTACTTACTTTTGTCATTGATGATTATTATGACAAACAAACCAAATCATTGTTGATGTCCGAAATTGCTCAAGGTACAGGCCCAAATCCAATGAATAATGGAGGAAATTAGATAAAATAACACCAATTGCCGCAAGTCCAATCTTAATTACCCAAGGCCTAGTGTCCAAAATTTTAGCGTCCATTGGCCCATTGACCACACCCATGCACTAAGAGACAAAATGGCTCTTTCCCCTCATTTTATTTTTCTTTTCTTTTATTTTTTTTCCCTTCCCTGGTGGTCCTCAACACGTTTCTTGCTTCTGAAATAAGAGGACTAAGGCCAAATATACATAAAGAAAGAAAAGCAAGCCTTTGGTTCTTTAGCTACTCTTTCTCAACTCGTCCGATATAACCATAAAGCTTTAATGGACGTTTGATTCACGGTTTATATGTATTTTTTATGAGAAAAAACACTATAACAAGTTACGAATTATAATTTGAATCATGTCACGAATTCTCATATTAAATAACCTTTTAATTGGATACTCGACAACTCATACATTCACTCTCTTAGTAAGATATGATCTACAAGTGAGGAAAAATACCATTAAACCATGCTAAAAACGCCCGTCCGACGTAGCCGTAGACAATAATTTCCGTCAAGATTTATAGTTTTTAGAGAGAAGATTTTCCTCTTCTTGCAACCAAATAAGATATCATGGACTTGTACGATTTTTGTACAATTTATTATGAATTTTAGGACTCAGGTAACCAAATCAGAAAATTTATGCTCAAACCCGAGACTGAGTTGTCCAATAGAATTAGTTGGAGTTGAAATTTTTAAAGCTATTGAAGTGAATATCATATATAAGGAACCTTATTTAAAATTTTAGAAGAAATGGAGTAGAAACAATCCCAGAATTGTGATTAGAAATTAGAGGACTATAAGCGAAAAACTAAAGAAACTAGAAAGTCTATAAATTATAATATTATTGTACTTGCTGTGATGAGGACGTTTCGGATATGTGAAATTATCATGTTCCTTAGAACCAAATAAGATGTTTTATCCAAGTAATGAGCCAAGATTTGAGTTGGTAACCAGATAGGCTCGCGTAGGGACAAAAATGTATTTGGGTGCCTGAAGACTAAAAATGTTTATTTTTTGGCAAAGTAAGAAAGTTTACCGAAACACTTGTAAGCGAAAAATTTATAAAATTTTCGGTAAATAATATATTTTAAAACTATTTAAAATAAATAATAATATACAATGTAAGGTAAAAGATAATTTACATGATAAATAAATCTTTATTTACATAAAAAAAATTTTATCAGTCGTAAAAAAAAACTTAAGTAGAAAAAAATATTTTTATTAGTTGTAAATAAAATATTTACACAATAAATTATTATTTATTTTAAATAATTTTTAATCTGCTATTTATTTAAAATCAACCACTAGTTTAAATCCTCTTAATCTGTGTCCTGTATCCCTTAAAGAAATAATTTGTGCTCTTCATCTACAAATTCATTTGAAAATAAAAAACCGTAGAGTTGATAGATGAAGCCGCCCTATCACACACCATACGGGTTGCCCATCCCATCCGCACCGCAGCTCTGACAAAAGAACAAGCGTTAAGAGTATGTTTGGTAGGAAACAAAAGTAAAAAAAAAGAAGAAAGTGGAGAAATTTTAGGAGAAAAAATAAAAATATAAGTTGTTTGGTAGAAGAGAAAAAAGAAAGAAAAAAAAAATAGAGTGAAAAATAATACAAGTGGGCCCCATTATTTTTTTTCTTTCACAAATGGGTAGAAAATATAATGAAAAATGAAGACAACTCATTAAAATGAGCAAAATTGCTAAACTACTATTTTCTCTATCAACATCTAAGTAAAAAATTTAAGGGTATAAAAGTAATTTACGAATAAAATTTTTTCTTTCCTCTCAATTTAACTTCCAATACCAAATAAATGCAGGTAAGTTCATTTTCTTTTCATCTTCTCATACCAAACAACATAAAAAAAAATATTTTTTTTTTCATCATTACTATTTTTTATCACTTTCATATTTTCTTTCATTCTTACCAAACATGGCATAAAACACCACCGTGAGCATCGGAGCTATCCATCATTGTGCGCACTTGGATCCTCCCACCGTCCCACGAGACATTTGTCGTCGCGATAGCCCTTCCCCCAACTTTTTCCTCATTATCGAGAGTAGCCTTGTTCGTTAAGCTTCTTCGGCAAACCTTCTCACGTCGAGCCGAACAACGTGATTCCATCCTCCCCTCTTTATTGAGTGATTTCCAAGCCTAAGCTGCCGAACCTCCTCAAATCGATGAGCTACTGACGGAGCTAATTGGAAGAGGCATGAAAGTTAATTGGTCATGGGTTCCGATAGAGAATGACAGAGGCACTAATGCGGGACATGGGCTACAGTAATGGAGGAAAAGGGCTGCTAATCTTAGGGTTTCTTCACCTTTAAGTCTTCCCAAAATCAAAAATTGAGATTGGATTTGTTAAAATTAAGGGATGAAATTAAATGAGTTTTTTTTTTTTTTTTAATTTATTGTTATAGATTTAATTAGAATGAGAATTTAAATGCATTTTAGGGTCCGTTCACTTCGCTGATTCGAGTTTGTAATTCGAGTTGAGATGTGATTTTATGTGAGAGCTTTTTACTGTAGCAAAAAAGTTAGATGTGACTGTTTCTGAGAGCTTTTTACTGTAGCAAAACTCGAATTCTAAACTCGAATCGGCGAAATGAACGGGGCCTTAATAAGCTTTAATGGTATGCCATGTTAAAATTTTCGTCAAAAATAATATATGAAAATAGACGAAGCATTTTGATTCGTTTTCATTTAGAATCATGATTCATATTTTTATTCTCGATTTATGTGTATTTTTTAAGAGAAAATACTGTAATGATCTACGAACTATAATTTAAATTATGACACGGATCTTTGTTCCAAACATACTCTAAAAAAAATTAAAATAAAGTACATAATTTGGGGAATTATCAAAAATATCCATCAAAATTACTACACAAGTAAAAAATAGTGCATCCATAATTATTAAGGTTCGTTTAGTTCATTGATTCGAGTTTTTAATTTAAATTGAGATATAATTTTATGTGAACATTTTTTACTATAATAACTGTTTATGAGAATTTTTTACTTAATAAAACTCGAATAGGTGAAATGAACTAAAAATCTCCGGCCCTGTTTGTTTCTCTTCTCGTTTTCATTTTTCACGATTTTTTAGAATGAAAAATGAAAATGCGTTTGGCGTCAAATTTTTGAAAAATTTAAAACTAAAACGTTCTTGTCCTTATATGAAAATCTGAAAACGATTCATTTCCGTTTTCATTCTTCCGTTTTCGTTTTCTCTCTTCAACAAATTCACTCTACGACCGTGCGACTGCGCGCCCCCCGCCCCCGTCTCCGCGCGCCCTCCCCCAGTCTTCTGCGACTATGCCCCGCCGTCTGCAACTGCTCGCCCCGCTGTCTGCGACTCCCCCCGCCCACGCCTGCACAGGCTGCCACCCCACCACTCTTATTCGACTATCGTTAACATTTCTTCGACTAATATATATAATGTTATATTAATATATTTATTTAATATATTTAATATTAATATTTATTTAATATATTATTATTTTAAATATTATTACATATTTTTAAAAATTAAACCACCAAATACAATTTTAATTTTTTTAAAATTAAAATTAATTTTAAAATAAAATTATTAAATATATTTTTAAAAATAATTTTAAAATAAAAATAAAAATATTTTTATTTTTACTTTCGTACTCAAACATTTTAGAACCAATTCCAAACGCACTCCTCTCTCCACTTTTCTCATCTTCTCATCTTACCAGTTCTGAATTGCTTTTCGTTGTCGTCTTGTCAGTCCTTACCCTTTCACGGCTTGTCCTGGTTTTCCTCCACAGAAATTCATTCTAAACACCTTCAATTCCGAACCCAAACTCTTCCAAATCGAAGCTCCTACTTTTGAATTGAGTTCAATTTCTTCACTGCCGAGTTCCGTAATTTAGGGTTTTCGATTTTAATGGCGGCGCTTTTGGAGGAGATTGTGCAATCGGTGGAGTTGTGGTTGAAGCTGATCAAGAAGCCCCAGCCTTATGTGGACCCGAATCTCGACCCGGTTCTTCTGGTGCCTGGAATCGCTGGCTCGATTTTGAAGGCCGTCGGTGATGAGAATGGTAAAGAGGAAAGGGTTTGGGTTAGGATTCTTTCTGCTGATTACAAGTTCCGGACCAAGCTTTGGTCTTGTTTCGATCCTGCCTCTGGTAATTGATTGACTTATGATCTTTTGTTTTAATATTATTTATTTTCTCTTTTTCTTAGGTTTTTAGAAATTTAGGAAGCCAATAGAAATTTTTTTTTAGGATTTTTTTTTATTTTTTTATTTTCACTCTTGCGTTTGGTTGCTTAGAAAATGGAGCAAAGATGAAGGGAGGCGATCTGGGAAATTTGTAGTTTGCTTTAGTTATACTATAAATTCCGAAATCTTTAAGAGAGACAAATTAGTATCACTTTCATTTTGAAATTCCGAAGTCTTTAAGAGAGACAAATAAGTATCACTTTCATTTTGTTTGTTTTGTGTTTTATCTTGAGATTATTTGCACTATTCATTTCACGTTTTGTTTATAAAAAAGGAAGAAAAAAAAATTAGAACAGTTTTACCAAAGATATTAGCGGATACATGAGTCCTAAGTTGAATCAGCTTTAAAATCTTTAGTAGAATGGTCATTGGAGGTGCTATATCTAGTACCTATTGTAAATGTAGGACAATTTCAGGGTTTTTTTTTTTTTTTTGGCAGCATAGTACTTATAATTTGCTTTGCTTTATCACACATTCCTTATTGGACTATGATTTTGGGCAGTTCCTTGAGAATTGAGAAGCAAAGAACACTTTAGTATTTGCTCTTGACTTTTATAAATATATGGAACAGGTAGAACTGTGTCTTTGGATTCAAAAACAAGTATAGTTGTCCCTGAAGAGAGACATGGTCTTTATGCGATTGATGCACTGGACCCTGACATGGTAAGCTGTTCACTTACCTGGGCTTCTTTTTTTTTTTTTTTTCTAAAAAAAACTTGAAACCTGAGCTTTATTTCAGTTTTTTTTTTTTTTTTCGTTTTTCTTAAATAACTTTAGTCGCTGTAAAATTACTTTTTCATGTTATGATATTGTTAGGAGATTGAGGGGTAGTTAATAGTCAGCTATCAAAGAATGATATTGGCTTCAGATAATAATTAAACATTGTAGAAAGATAACCCTAGGTAACATCTCTAAGCTCAACCCTTTGAAACAGATTGGAGGGCTGTAACTTTGAATTCTAACTTTTAAAATTGACTCCTACTGTTTAGTCGACTGACTTGGCCTTTCAATTTTATAAATGACTATTTGATGGTATCGTAATCACCAGTAGTTATGTTTCTTCCCAGTAAATAAAAATAATACTGAATGATACGTAAAATTCCTAGAAGTCTTTTAAGACAGGGAGCTTTTTTGTTGCATGTGTTGGATACCCTCAGTGAAAGAGTGGCCAAAAGTTTTAATCGCAAGTTAAGTTGGGAACATTCCGTAAAAATATTTTAATTATAAAATAGAACTTTTGACAGATAATGAGTAGTTTAATCCAAAATAAATCAAATGCTCGAAAATAAAGAAAAAAGCTGTTAAAAAATATAGTATGAACTCTATTGTTTTCAATTTTCATACTCTGGGAATAAAACTAGTACCAAGAGGATTTTTATTTTCATTTTATGTAATAGAACTAATATAGAAATTAATAGGGAAATGCCACCTTTAAATTGAAGATATTGATTGCAAAAGGTATCATGTCAATGCCGTAAGAATTAAGATACTAATTTTCTTGCAATTTTCCTAGTACTTTGCATACTATTAATGAATGTGTCATTTATTATCAATTACTTGTTCATGCAGGTTATAGGACGTGAATGTGTTTATTATTTTCATGATATGATTATGGAGATGATCAATTGGGGTTTCCAAGAGGGGAAAACTCTTTTTGGTTTTGGATATGACTTTCGCCAAAGCAACAGGTATGTTTGCTGAGTATGTGAATTTGTGTTGCTAGAGACTAGCTTAAAAGGCTATTGGGCGAGATTGCAAACTCTGATTCCCATTCATAACCCAAAGGAAAATAGAAACGAGGCCTGCAAACTTATAGTCTCAGCATTCATATTAATGCACAATTTACTTGTAGAGAAGATTTGCATGATTAAAAAGGGCTATGTTTCTACTTGGAATCCAAGTGGAAGTTTGTTACGGTGTCTGGGCCCCCTTCTGTTCCTAGATTTAAAGTTCCTTCTTATGGAAAAAATCAGGTCGTAAGGAAGTGTATGAATTATTTCCATCTTTCATCTATCCAAATAAAGATAGTTCCACCTTTTATTTTAATCACTTGGTAGTTTGTTCACTTAATCATGCACTAGAAATCCTTCTCTTAATCAAGTTGAACTTCTTTGTTTGCTTTTAGAAGAAGAATAGAATTTCTATGTTAATTTGGTGGTAAGGATAGAATTTACTAGGTCAGTGTCTTTAGTGGTAGTTATATTTCTGGCGTATTCTAAGTTGCATCGAACCTTAAATAAATATTAACTGCCAATGCTTTGGAGATCTTTCAAAAAGGAAATACGGTTCTCTTTCAATTTATTCTGATTTAATGACTCAAGTGCCAGGGACTTATTGCTGTTATATTTTCCTCTTTCTTTTAGTTCAGAAAATAATAAATACCATTACTCTTAATTTATTGGTGGGAAGCAGGTGCTTCAAGCTCGAACTTTTGAATGTGCCACTAGTTTCTTTCCTTGCATTTGGGCCTTCATTTTTTTTCTTTGGCTAAATATCTAATCTGAAAATTAAATCATGGATGAAGGGAATAAATAACACTTTTGACGGCATAGCTTTAAATGGCTTTCTATCAATTTCTTGGTTCATAAACTAATATTGCTGTATGTTAACTGTCAGATCCTTTTGGATGATAATTTTTCTACTCCGCTGGCTCACTTTGGATGATTATCTTTCTATTTAGATGGCTCATTTTAGATGATTATCTTTCTATTTAGATTGCAGGACACTTTGGATCGCTTCAGTGCAAAACTAGAGTCGATTTACAAAGCATCTGGAGGGAAAAAGATAAACATCATAACTCATTCCATGGGGGGTCTTCTTGTGAAATGTTTCATGTCTTTGCATACTGATGTAAAGTCCTTAACAGTTTCTTAGATTTTGTTGTTCTTTCCCTAATACCTTGCCATTTCAAGTGTTTTGATTTATGTTTTGTTGTCTACGTATTGTTTTTCTTATTGATTTATTTAATTATTTTACTAATGGTTGGAGTAAACTATAGCATTTTCACTTATTGATTCACAGGTTTTTGAGAAGTATGTAAAGAATTGGATTGCAGTTGCTGCTCCATTCCAAGGTAAGTCATCTATTATTATTCTAGTGTAGTAAAAGAAATGTTGTCAGCCTTTGAGTATTTTTGTTTCGGTTAATAATTGCAATGTTGTCACCCTTCCATGTTTTAGTCTTTCAGAGTATAAATTCTTTTGTTCCAAAGAATTGATTTTACCTAAAATATTTAGCAGAAACAATTTAGAATATAAATTTATGGAATCTTAAACTACCTTGAACGTGATTAGGTCTGATTAAATACTCAAACTTGTGTCAATCAATCCTATCCTCACTGCTCTAACATAAAAACTTAGCTAATTTGTTAACTCAAGCATTGGTTGATGTTCTTCTAAGTTGTATATGCCAATTATCAAATGTTGGTTGCACAAATAGACAAGAGTCAAATAAACCACTAAAGAGATGGCATGTAGGCCATGTACAAAAGACAGTTCACTGTAGTTTTTTAACCAAAGTGTCCCCATTCTCTTTTTTTTGTTGGCAAACAGGTGCACCTGGCTATATTACATCCACCCTTTTGAATGGAATGTCATTTGTTGACGGATGGGAGCAGAATTTTTTTGTATCAAAATGGAGCATGCACCAGCTGGTATGGAGAAGTATATGGACAACGCTATCTGTTATCAACAGTCCTTTGAAAATGGGTCATTTAAAATTTTCTACATCCTCCTATAGGATTCCTAATCTTCTGATTTACATTGTCAAAACTCGAGCCAGCAATAACATGAAAAAGTTCCAAGTGATTTGTGATTTAAAGAAAATTTTCCTAATTGTCCTTTTCTTTTAATCTTCCAGAGAACCTTTATGCCTTTTAGAAGGCCAGAGCTCAAAGACCATTTTCTTTTTTTTTTTTTTCCTTTGTGTGTGTGTGTGTGTGTGTGTGTGGTGGTTTTCTTCTTCAGTTTTTTCCCCGACAAAAGCAGCTTGCCACTTCTGTTTATTTAGTAATCTGTACCAAAATGAAAACCTTATTCAATTTGTTTAAACCATCTTGAATCTGAGTTAAACTTCTCAGGTAATACCCTGGACGAAGCGCAGTAGCTCTTTTTTTTTTTTCCCTAAATCGTACCTCATATCTTCTTTCTCATATTTTTTAAGTTCTCTGACAGAAATTGTTATCCTGATTCGTTGTGGTTGCACTCAATTCTATCCTATTCTATATTTTGGCAGTTACTTTGTTACTGATTATTTATTTGTATCTGGCAATATTTCAGCTGATTGAATGTCCCTCCGTATATGAATTGATGGCTTGTCTGGATTTTGATTGGGAACACATTCCTCTGTTAGAACTCTGGCGAGAGAAGCTTGTTGATGGGAACTCTTGTGCAATTTTAGAGACTTATCCGCCTCTTGAGAGTGTACAAATCTTCAAGGAAGCTCTTTTAAATAACACAGTGAGCTATTATCTTTAATCACAAAGTTCAAAATCTTTTTTAAAACCTGGTGTCAACTGTCAACTTTGGAATTCGTATTGTGAAATTTTTTGAGTTCCCTTTCCAATCACTAATGTTCTATATCCATGTGCAAAAGATCCAGCAGATTTATTTTCAAATCTTGTTAATTTTTCTTATGTTCTTACGTGGATTGTGGTCCTTTGTCCTACTTTTACATGGAATATGGATGAGTAGGTTTTACTTTTATACATATGCAGCATTTGTCACAATCGTGCTAGATAGTTTTGGGTATTGGACAATTAACAATAAGAATTCCAGGTGAACTATGATGGTGAAGATATTCCCATGCCGTTTAACTTGGAGATCTTGAAATGGGCTAATGAAACACGCGAGGTTCTTTCTCGTGCCAAAGTTCCTTCAGGAGTTAAATTCTACAATGTATATGGGATCAATGTCGAGACACCTCATAGTGTTTGGTAATACCTCCATTAATTCTGATGTACTGTTCTACGATTACTTCTGCCATCTAAAGTGCTTTCATTGTCCAATTTACTGGAAGCCTCAGAACATCATAATATCTTTGCTACTATCATGAAGTTGGATGTATATCATCTCTAAATTTAATCTATTGTGCAGCTATGGAAGCGAGGAAAAACCTGTCAAGGATCTTCAAGAATTAAGATATTTCCAGGTATTTTTTTCCCTACAGCGTATTCCTGTAGTTACTAAGCTATCTTCGAGGCAAAGTCTCGGCATTAATGAGTAATGTATTGGTGTATGGAGTAACACATTTCTTTTGATTGTCCCACCCTCACCTGTTTATGAACTTCAAATTTGTTTCGTTGAACTGTTTATTTTCTTGATACAAGACGGGATTGAACCTGCAACCTCTCCACTAGACCAAGAGGTCTTAGGTGTTTTCTTTGAAGTGTTTATTGTGTTAGCATAATTCTTTGGACAAATTGTAATTGCTTTTTGTGTCTTTGCATGCATCAGCCTAGGTACATTTGTGTCAACGGTGATGGGACAGTTCCAGCAGAATCGGCTAAGGTTTGCTAATTCTCTCGAGCTTGATCTGTTTCGATTAATATATATGTGTTTGTGTGTGTGTGTGTGTGATTACCGAGCCACTGGCTTTAGAAATTCATTTTTTGTTGTGTCTTTGAAATTAGTTTGTTTTCATTTGAACTTTGAAATTCTATTTGGAGAGTGAATTTATGTTCATTTGATCCTCAAATGATAGGAAATAGGAATGGCTGTCAGATTCTCTATGAAATGCTGCTCGTAGGATCTACTACTAACAGATTTGTTTCGTCTGAAAGAACTGTTGTTGTGGATCCTCTTTTGCTGACCCAAATTGAATGGATAAGGTTAAAATGCTAGTGATAGAAGGGTATTAACATAAGTAGGGGGAAGAGAAGGGGAAATAAACCATTCTTTTGGACTTCCATGTGGTGCCAAGAAGAGTTTGAATTTATTACTACCTGTTAAATAACCACTGCCTGTCAAACAATCAGAGGCCGAGAAGGGACCATGCGATAACTGTATTTTACCTTCTGTAATATGGTTGAAGCACCAAGATTGGTGTTGGTTTTAGCGTTTTCCTATAGTGTCATGACCATACATTTTGTGTGATTAGTTGTCCATATTAAGTTTCTGCTTCGTAGTTTTTTTTTTTTTTTTTTAAATAAACGTTCAAGATCGGAGATTAGCTTGCTGAAAGAGAGATATGAATAATATGTGAGTGAGATCAATATATCTTTTGTTAATAGCAGAAATGTTACGGAAGCACGCATATACTATGGTGTTCCTTTTCAAGTTGAATGATTGTTTAAAATTACTTGAAGTTGACTTGAATCAAATATCTAAAGTAATATGTGGTTGATTTGCTCATAGACTGGGATTCTTCTCTTTAGTTTTTTTGTTATACTATGAGGAAATCTCTTCCTCCTTTCGTAATCTCTTGTTTATAATTATTGATTATTATTAATAACAGATTTTTGTTTTTTTTAAGAAAAAAATAATTTTCATCTATCCAAATAATTTTAATCATTTTTCATCAAGGATTTCTATTATTCAAATCTTTTTTTTTTTGTAAATGTCTTTAGTCTTAAGAGTAAATATATTGTTAAAAGCAATTATCTTCGTATTTAGATTGGGGACATTTAGGCCTCGTTCACTTCGTTGATTCGAGTTTAGAATTCGAGTTGAGATGTGATTTTTTGTGAGAGCTTTTTACTGTAGCAAAAAAGTTAGATGTGATTGTTTGTGAGAGCTTTTTACTGTAGAAAAACTCGAATCAGTGAAGTGAACAGAGCTTTAAATCTTACTGTACTTTTTTCTAATCCCTTTTTTTCTCTTTTACATTTCCCCAGGCTGATGGGCTTAATGCAGAAGCACGGGTTGGTATACCCGGCGAGCATCGAGGAATCCTTTGCGACCATCACCTATTTCGGATTCTCAAGCACTGGCTGCGGGCAGACCACGATCCTTTCTACAACCCTGTAAATGACTACGTGATTTTACCGACCGAGTTCGAGATGGAGAGACACACAGAGAAAGGCTTGCAAGTGACATCACTGAAAGAAGAATGGGAAATCATCTCAGATGACTCAGACACCCAAGACGGTAATCGAAAGCCTTTGACGAGCTCTATAACTCTTTTTCAAGATGGAGGCAATAAATCTTCGCAAGCCGAGGCTTGTGCCACGATTGTTATACATCCTCGGAATGAAGGCAAGCAGCATATTGAACTGAATGCCGTAAGTGTCTCAGTTGATGCTTGAATTATGTGTGTAAAAACATATATACAGTAACTTTGTAAGAGCCGGCACATATGATTTAATGCTATATTGCAATCGAAATCCTGTACATAAAAACCTCATCCGACACTGCTTCACGGCCTCTCCATTGTAAGATATGCCCATTGATAGTGTAATTTGTACATCACTGCCAAGTAATTGAACTCTTTAATATCATGTACTCTGCACCAATATGAAATAAGGAAAAATAAGATTTTCCATTATTGTGTCGGATTCAATTCTCTGGTGTACTAGAGTAGGACAAGTTTTGTACGTGCTTGAAAGGTATATATTGTATTATTGTGTCTGATTCATTTCTCTGGTATATATTGTTTTATACGAATGATGATATGGATATTCTTGTTCTTATTTTTTTTATTTTTTACTGATAAAACTTATAAAATATCCATTTGTCGATATGGGTTGTTTTTAAGTTTGACTGTTTGGGTTAGGTTAACGTTAATTTTAAACTTTCTTTTTTCAATTGGTTATCTTGGACATTCACCAAAGAGCAAAGGGTAATCTTGACAAATATTTTTTAAAAGTATATGAGTCAAGATTTTTATTTTTTCACTCTTGATTCACAATTTTTTAGTTAAATAATTACACTAATAAAAGGGTATTTATTAAGAGTGAGAGATAAAAATTTAGATTTATGTACTTTTTAAGGATAAATCTTATAATTTTCTCAAGAAGAGCAAACTCTCCAAGATCTCTGTATTGAATTACGTATAATCAGTTGTTTTCATGTCTACTCTATTTATTTCCAATAAATTATGAAAATTAGATTCTGATTGCAACTCATATTGAAGAAGTGTGGTTAAAATATTCCTAATTTTTATTCAAAGAAAAGAATAACAAGTTTCCTATAAGACTTTTCACCAAAACAAAAAAAGAAAAAAAAAACAACAACAATAATAATAATAATAAGAGGAAGTTGCTCTATCAACAACAATCTTACAACTATTCACAAAAGACTTTCCAGCAAAACGAAATAAACAAAAAAATAAATAAACAAATAAGAAGTTGGTATATCAACAATAATCTTAAGTCTCGTTTGTTTCGCGGGTTTGAGTTTTTAATTTGAATTGAGATGTGACATTTTTTTAGAATTTTTCATTGTAACAAAAAAAGTTAGATGTGATATTTTTTAAAAGCTTTTAACTGTAAAAATTTAGAACTGAAAACTTAAATCGGTGAAATGAACTAAAGCTTAAAATTCTTTTATTATTTAGAAAATTAAAAGGAGAGACGAGAGGAAGAAAAAGGAGAGAACAAAAGTTGTTTAAAATCTTTTACGTTTCTTATAAAAATTTGTTTAAAAATAAAATGTTTGAAAACATTCTAATACGTCCCCGTTCATTTCGCTGATTCGAGTTTAGAATTCGAGTTTTGCTACAGTAAAAAGCTCTCACAAATAATCACATCTAACTTTTTTACTACTGTAAAAAGCTCTCACATAAAATCACATCTCAACTCGAATTAAAAACTCGAATCAGTGAACTATTGTAGCGAACCACAAATCATAATTCAAATCATAGTATGAATCTACCAATCAAATGTACTGGAATTCTTTGTTTTCAAAATTTTTAAAATTTTGATAACAGATTAAAAAATAAAACATAAAAGTAGAGCTACGAACATATTATTACCAAATCAGATTTTTATTTTTTGTTTAAAAAACAAAAACTCATTTTTTAAAATGATACCGAACGTACCCAAAGATATTGACATAAGCATGCACAATTCTTGCTCGTTCATTTTGCTGATTTAAATTTAAAATTTGAGTTTTGTTACAGTAAAAAGCTCTCAGAAACAGTCACATCTAACTTTTTTATTACAGTAAAAAATTCTCACACAAAATCACATCTCAACTCAAATTAAAAATTTAAATAACAAACTAAAAAGACTCGCTATCTATGATAGATAAGAAAGTTACACCTTTTTTCTAGTTCTTTGCGGTAACTTTTCCCCAAGTTGAAAAAAGTTGGAACCATCCATGATCAATCATCTAGAAGCAGTATTTGCATCATATTATCCCGCGTCAAATACTGGGTCTAAAAAAGGACAGACAAACACACTATATTAGAAGCTTCTTTTTTGTTCTTTTTTTCTTCGCCATGATCAGAAGCTTCTGTTTCCAATTGACTGATTAATCAATTAAAATTACGGTTATTTTCACTAGTGTCGTAGAACTTTATATTTATTTCAATTTGCACCCCAAAACTGTTAAAAGTGACAGCTTATTATTCCAAACTTCGCAAACGTTATACTTTACCCTTATGTTACAAGTATAACTATTAAGGTCTCATTTATTTCACCGATTTGAGTTTTTAATTTTAGGTTTCTACAGTAAAAAGCTCTCAAAAAATGTCACATCTAACTTTTTCTACTACAGTGAAAATCTCTTAGAAAATGTCACATCTCAACTCGAATTAAAAACTCGAATCCGTGAAGTGAACAAGGCCTAAGTTTTGATAGTAAATAAATAAATAAATAAGTGCATGAGCACACACATTAATAAGCTTTAAATGGGTGTAAATTACCACCAATGAGTTAGTAGAACAATGAGGTCGATGCATTTAAGAGTGTTCATTCAATCCAATACAATTTATTTTGGTTATATAATAACCAATCTAATTGAGCAGAACCCACTTCGTGTTAGTGACGAAAACACTCAAACAATTTGATGAAAATAGCTTTCTTCACGTAACCAATTGAACATAAGCACATAAGCAATTTGATGAAAACCTTAACTTTCTCCACTCTATCAACTCGTTTTTAACACCTTTTCGCAACAATAAGATTAACAAGGAAGCCAATTTAAGTGAAAGTTCCTATTGGACTTTTTAGGTCAGTGCATGACCCAACAGTCATTATGATTTGGATTTATTGTATTGGAATGAAATCTAAAGAAAGAAATATCAATTTAGAAAAATTATGGGATATTACCAAATATTTGACTAATTAAGTGAACTAGGCAACTTACTCTTAGCCAACTTATGGGGTGATATTTACCGTGTATTGTGAATTGTGATGTCTATATACGTTTCAACTTATTCAATTACGTGACTATAATTATTCTGAGAACCCGTGCAAAACTGACACTACGTAAGACAATCATCAAAAGGCTCTTTGTCTCTTTTAGTCTTACTAGGTTCTTGAGTTGTGGATTTTTGTAATTGTTCGAGTTTTACTTTTGTAATAACAACACACATATATAGTGCGCAATCAAGAACAAAGCCACGATCGTGGTCTAGAGGATTGTGGCTTGGTGCACGATAAGATCATGTTTGTGGCTCTGGAGTATCATGAGGCTTATCCTTGACGACTGTTTACTCGTTATATTTTCCTTTCAGCTCCTTTGTGCCCTTCTCCAGCCTTCATTCAACCAGAAGGTGGTAAGTGTGACGTTTGTAAGTTTGTAGTAGGGAACTATCGCTTTACGAGAGTTCAGGGGCAAAATGTGAATTGTGCAAAGTTTAGGGGAACCTTTAAAATGACCCTACAAAAAGGATTAGTTTGCTATGATGTGTCACACCAGTATTGGTAATTCTATAATAAAGCCTTGTTATCCACGTCTGCCATGGAGGTCTGCCAAATTAATTTGTTTCCGCGTCAATACTCAGCCGCCAATAACTGAAAAAAAAAAAAAAAAAAAATTTTCCTATAAAACAAAAGTTGTGAGAAATTCCATATATAAGTTGAGCAAAACGCCATCTGCATTTAAATTGCCCATTCTCCATCCCTTTTCTTCTTATTATTGTTTCATTTTTTTCGGCCGTTATTTTCTGTTGCAAATCTCAACTCTCTTGTGCAACATGAACCAATACGGCCATCATCAACCACCAGGTAATTGTAATTATATTTTCATTGATAAATTTCATTCCTTTACTTTTTTTTTTCTCCTTATTTTTGTTCACCAACTGTGATATTACTAGAAAACAATGTAAACAACATTAGTTCTTTTACTTAGTTCCCCCTCCTCTCTCTTTTCTTCCTTCGTTCTAGGTTCTAAGTTACAAATAATCAATTGTAGTAAAAACTAAATAATACAAGCAAAAGTGGGTTTTCATGATTATTGAATCCAGTCTAGATGAAAAGCGCAAAGAAATTAAGGGTGCGTTTGAAATTGGTTTTAAAATGATTTTATTTTCAATAAAAAGTAAAAATGAGATTATTTTGAGAATCATTTTGGAACTGATTTTAAAATTGCGTTTGATTGATTTTTTAAGATATTATTTTGAGTATAATAAAAAAATAAAATCGTGTTTATTAATTAATATATTAGAATATTATTGATAAGTACTAAAAAATTAAAACAGAAAAGTAAAAATAACTTTCGACTATTTTCTAATTTATTCACAAAAATAATTCTCACTATTTTCGTTTTTAAAATATTTACTAAACAAACGTCGTTTTGTTTTCATTTTTATTTTTTATTTCTCGAAATACGTAAAAACTGTTTTTAAAAACGGTTCCAAACACGCACTAAATCTCTAATGGGTCCAATTAACCAATTTTGAAGTTGTATTTAGCAGTAAACCTTGTTATATAAAGTTCGTGAATATACTTTTTTCCACATTAACACTAGTTGTAACCAAAGAGGAGGATTACCTTTTAAAACCTTTAGGGACAACACAATGTCTTAAAAGGGTGGAATAGTACGCCTTTTCTCTTTGAAAGGTTGACGGGAAGTTATTTTAACGAATTAATGGAAGGGTTTTTTTGAAAGTTTAAGAATATTCCTGTTGAATTTAAAGTTTGGGACCTTCTCTTACTGATAAGACCTGTTTCTAATTATTAGATTTGATCAAAATCACATCAAATTAAAAAAATTTACAGAACAGATAGTTTCTAATACAAACTTAACAGTTAAAAAGTAGAGAACTATTGATAAATTATTTGTTCTAAATTCTATTAGAGAAATTCTCTTAAAGTTCATTTTTTTTTTCTGCTAATAGACGTTGATATAATTAATTGGTATTGTAGTGGGATATCCTCCACAAACCCCTCCATATCCAGGGGAGGTTTATCCTCCACCACCACAATGGCAATCCTATCCGCAAGGGTACAGTCAAGGTCCTTTTGTTGCTCCACCTCCAGTAGGGCCTCCTATGAAAAATGGTTTTGGCTACCCCCATCAACCGCCACCGCCACCACCTCCCCACCAACCGCCGCCGCCGCCGCCTCCCCGCCACAAGTGTGGGTTTTGCAAGGGATGGTAAGACTTCAATACTTCATTATTATACATCACATTATTATTCCCTATGTTTTTTTTTTTCACTTAAATGGTGTTCTTTAGCATTGGTAAACATATTCCTTGATCAATTTCTTCTCTATTTTGCAGTTGTGCTGCCTTGTGTTGCTGCTGCCTTTTGGATATTTGCTTTTAGAGATCTTCTGTGTGAATCTTATAATGGATATCATTCTTTTTTACAGCTATAAACTATTCATTGTCCACTTATTTATTACGAGCATTTGGTGGTAGACTAAAAATGTATCCTAGTATGCTGACAATTTTTTATCAAGTTCCATTAAACTTAAATTTATATGTATACTTTTCTAGTTAAAATATGAGTCTGATATGATTTAATAATCCAGCACTATACCATACCGATGGAGTATACATATTTTTATGCCCTGCTATGAAATTCTCTGAATAATTATGTACTTACGATGAAAGGTTAAGTTAATTAATTTTATTTACTATTAAATATATATATAATGGGAATTGTCTCTAATCCGGTACTAAATTAGAGCGACACATGTATATTTTTTTAAAAACATATATATTTTATCTTAAGAATATGTATATTTTCTCTTAAAATATGTATATAGGTGTTTAGACAAATTATATGTGTCTCCTCATATTATACACGTTTTAAGATGAAATATACATATTTTTTAAAAATAAATATACATATTTTTAAAAAATATATACATGTGTCGTTCTAATTCAGTGTAAGATTAGAGACTTTACCTATATAATAGACAATTTTTGGATATCATATTTGAAATTACGTGGTTATTTTAATATATTTCACAGATATCTTTGAGATTAAGACCTCATTTATTTTATTAATTTAAAGAATTTGAGTTTTATTATAATAAAATTTTTTAAAAAATAATCACATTTAATTTTTTTATTACAATAAAAAATTATAATATAAAATTATATATTAATTTAAATTAACAAATTAAACAGTTCCTAAGACTTCTCCCTCGCCGAAGATCTGATCAGAGTACATACGTATATATTTGATTCTTATGTCATTCTGATGACGATGCGATGTCTAGAAATGTATTAATGTACAGCATGGCTCTTTCAACTCACCTCCCACAATAACAGCCGGCTTTTTTGAGTTTCGATGGTGAATGATGATTTTCTAAACATTGACTTTTCTAGCTTCAATTTTTTAAGAAAACGTTTGGTTTATAAATTAAAATTATTTTTAATTTATGTGTATTTTTTATGAGAAAAAATACTGTAGTGAACCACGAATTATAATTCAAATCAAGAACGAATTTAAGTACCAAACATCTTCTAAATTTTTAACCTTCAAAAGCTTTAGAGCTGGAAGGAGCTCACGACAAAACAGAGAAAAGCAACAAAAGCGCGCGCACAAAAAAAAAAGGAAAAATATCGAGTTTGTTCTTTTAGAGTTTAACTTGAGTATAATTTTTAAGTTAAATTTGAGTTATAACTTGAGTTGAACTTATAACTTGAGTTTGTGTTTGGTTATATACATTCGAGTTATGGTTTGAGATAAGAATCTTTTTAAGTTTGTGTTTGAGTGAGTCAAAACTTGAATTTGTATTTAGATAGTATTTTAATAAAAACTCAATGCTGATGAAAAATTTTAATAGGGTATATGGGTCGGGTTTTATTCATCTTTTCGTTGTCAACGCATAGAAAAAAAAATCATCTCAATCAGAATTCAAATGAAAAAGTTATAGCATTTTTAAGAATAGAAAAAATATTGTTCATTAATTTGAGTTCGAGTTTCTGAACTAGAGTTGAAGGGGAAACTTGAACTCGAGTTTAAACTTAAAAGAACATGAACTTGAATAAAATTGTAACTCGAGTTGTATTTTTTTGAGTTTTTCACTCGAAAGAACAAGCCCATCATTTTAGAATTTAATACCCCATAAATTAAGGTATGTTTATTTTATCAATTTAAATTTAAAATTTGAGTTTTATTATGGTAAATTTTTTTTAAAAATAATCACATTTAATTTGTTTACTACAGTAAAAAATTCTCATATAAAATCACATTTCAACTCAAATTAAAAACTCAAATCAACAAACTGAACGGAAATATACTTTTACTAAAAACGAAAACAGTTTAATTAACTGTAAGTCTCAATCTTAATTAGGGTTCAAATCACCTTAAGTCCTATTTAATATAGTGATATTAATTCTTCCTCCTTTTGAATTAAAAAAAAAAGCCTTTTAATACCTTATAAATTTTAGGCCTCGTTCACTTCGCGGATTCGAGTTTTTAATTCGAGTTGAGATGTGACATTTTATGAGAGCTTTTCACTGTAACAGAAAAGGTTGATGTGACATTTTCTGAGAGCTTTTTACTGTAGAAATCTAAAACTGAAAACTCGAATCGGTAAAATGAACGAGGCCTTAATAATTTTGAATTGACACCGTGAAGTTTTATAAAATTGTTTCGTAACACCTTAAAGGCGCGTTTTTGATATAAAATGTGAAAAATAAAAAATAAGTTGCCAATTATGAAAAGTTCGATGTATACGTGCCAAATACGTTGTAACTATGTTTAATCCTGGAAGCTCCTCTTGACTCTCACCAACATTTTCAAAACTCGTAGTAGTAAATTAGTATTCTTGAACGTATAAGCAAACATATGAATAGATGAAAAGTTTCTTTTTTTATTTTTTTTGGTGTTCTCATTCTTTACAACGTGTAGGCTCCATAAAACTAGTGTTCTTGAATGTGTAAGTAAACATAGGAATAAATAAAAAAAAAAAAAAAAAAAAAAAAAAAAAAAAAAAAAAAAAGAAAAAATTTTTTTTTTTTTTTTTTTTTTTTTTTTTTTTCTCGATAAACTTGCTCTTATATTGTCTAACTAAATTAGTACAATGACTTATAAGGAGAAAAAGGCTTTCCCCCCCCCCCCACTTTTTTTTTTTTTTTTTGAGAACTTTCTATGTGAGGGAGTTTTTTTTTTATTTTTTTTAATAGATACATGAATTTAGAATAATTCAAGCATCAAGGCACACAGATTACCTTTTAATTAAGTTGGTACCCTATCAGAATACAATGGGTCAATTAAGAAAATACCACTTCTTCTGTGATATTGTCATTCAATTCTACCACTTCTGTGAAAAGTTTGAAATATATCACTGTCAATTAATACCCCATACAACTATATATGATTAATCATTAATTAACATGACTTAATAAGTTACTCACTAATTAATTGAAGTTAATCGGTGATGAAAATTTAGATATAAATGAATGGTAATATAACTTTAATACCACTTGAAAGTCATATGAATCAAAGAAATAAGATAAAACTGTAATAACCAACAACCACCTTTTAGAAATAGCATATAGTCAAATTAACTGGAATATAATCTAATAAGAGACCATCAACTTTATAGTATTAGCACTTGTGCTCCCACGAGTACTTTATCGGCAAGCATACACAGAGTCACTTAAGGTTAAGTGGGCAACGATATGTGTTATCTCTTAATCTTATTTTAGTCTATGATTTTTAAAACATCACATAATTAGTCTCTAAAATTTATTTTGTTGCTCTGTATTAGTCATGTGTTAAATATTTAATGAAATTTGTAAAAATTAAGAACTAAAACTAAAAATATTTGAAATTTAAAGACTAAAATAATATATAAAAAATTAATTTTCACATATAATCCTTAAATTTTAATTGTTTTTTTTTAAATTTTAATCATTAAGAGACGTTTAGTTCATGGATTAGAATCATGATATTAGAATAATTTTTGATTTACGTGTATTTTTTATGAGAAAAAACACTGTAACGAATTATGAACTATAATTTAATCATGATATGAATCCTCTTACTAAACGTATATTTAATTAATGAAAAGACTGAAATTAAAATAAAATAAACCTCTAGAAACCAACGTTTTAAAAATTATGAATGAAAGTGAGATTAAATGGATGTTTAGTTGGAGGATTCAAACAATGATTTGAATCATGATTTATGGTTCGTTACAGTATTTTCTCTCATAAAAAATACATATAAATTAAAAATAATTCTAATCTATGAATCAAACGCCTCGTAAGGATAAATTTAAAAGACTATCGTGGAATTAAACGAGAAAAAAAAAGAAAAAAAGAAAAAAAGAAAGAACCCCAGGTCCAAATAGCTTTCTACTCATCCGCTCCAACCGTTTGAATCCCCTCGTGGACTGAAAACATCGAACTGGTTACTGGGATTCCTCTTTCCATTTTCTTCTCCTTCAAATCCCAATGGCCAAATCCTTGTTCTTCCCCGGAAACGTTCCTCTGAGACTTTCTCAAATCCCAAGATCAATTTCCTCGCATAATCAAACAAACTCATCTCTTCCTCTGAGCTCAACAACCAAACAATTTCGACATGGGTTTCAGCGAATTCTTCATTTCGATGCCAAATCCACGAGAAGTCTCTGCACGAAGGCCGTCATATCTGAAATTCCCAATCAGAGGTATTATCCCAAAGTGGGTGCCCACTCAACTGGCCCCATTCCAGCTAGTCAGCTCCTTCAAGTTGTTGAAACTGCTGCAAAAACTGGTGCTCAGGTTCTCTCTGGTTTACAGAATGATAGCTACTTAACACTTAACAGCAATGAATCAAAGTTGAAAAATGGAGGTTTTGCTTTGACATTATGTATTCAGTATATACTATTGGTATTTGTTTCATCATTCATGTGGTAGTGACTGAGTTGTTGCTTGTACCCCCAACTGAATAGAAGTCTTATTTCTGCTTCTTCATCTGGGCGACTGTAGAAATCGAATTATTTGATAAATTTAAATATATATATATATAT